GTAGCATTTGAAAAACATAAACTGCTTTATTTCATTAAGTTCAAAATATCAACAAAAACTATGCATTAAGACTCTATCAGCAGTACTACAAATGCTGGTCAAAGACATTGGTTTTGAGATCTAAGGAAAAAGCTAAACAATCTTTGTGTGTACAACAAATATTATCTATTGGTACATGGTAATGACATGTCTATGCATGAGTTCTATAATAATCTAGATTTTCATCCAAAAAAAAGTTCTTTTATACAACAATATATTCTTCAGTAAGGTTTTTACTTGTCAGAGCCTGTTTCTATGGCATCAGCACCAGTAAAGTCCTCCTGCTCATCTTGTGACATGGAATTGCTGCTTGATGCTGAAGAAAGTCGTTCACAATTTCCTTTTTTCCAAAGGCTGTCCAGGGTGTGGTTGTTTTTCACTAAACGCTGTGCTTTCTCGTAATTTCTTTGGCACTTATTGAAATGTGCTACAAAGGACAAATTTTTAGCAAAGGTGAACAGTGTATTCCTAGGTTTACATTTCTCCACCATGGGGATTATTGAAAAAGTGATAAGGGAAGTTCAACTTAATTATAAACATTCATTAGTCTTTTAGAAGATCAGCTGAATACAAAAGACCAGAGTTACTATCACCTAAATACACTCGGAATTATTATTTTTTCTTATTCTGAGTACTGAAACATGTGATCTGCAGTAATGATATTGGTAAATTAAAAATATTTGTTTAAACTTACTGATTTTGAAGTAATTGACCTTCCCTTGGGTGGTTCTGCTGGACTTAGTACTGATAAAATACGGTTTCTTGCAGACTCCACAAGTAAATTTCACCTCATTAAGAGCTGAGCTTCCAGCAAGCTTCCCTAAGTCTAAGCGAGATAAAAGTAAACACATAAGTAAAGGTAAAAGTACAAGTAAAAGTAGAAATTCAAAAACCACCTATTTCATTAAAATTTACCTGCTTGAAGCTCATCTAATTCATGCCTCTGACGCACATTTCTCACAACTTTATTGTCTCGCAAAATATTTTGAACTAGTTCTTTATCTTCCAGACATTCTTGTCTTCTTTTCCTACTTCTATTTCTCGCAGAATCTGATGCTCCAGGCTCATTGTCTATGATGGCAATTTCTGGATCTTTATCTTCTGAAGAACTTGTTGAAGTACCAAGAGGTTCTTTAGGAGTTTGCTTCACACCCGGTACAAGCACCATTTTCTTGTCTGACCAATTAATTATTTTCTGTACCACATGTACTTAAAAAAGATGAAAAAGAGGAAATTTTACTTTAGTATTTCATACTTATAACCTTCAAAGTAATTATCCTTTTCTAAGATCGAATAAGGATAATTTGTAACCCCCAATTTTCTAATACATATGTTGTGGTTATATTTATCATTAGTTCAAAACTTTTTCCTGCACTTTATGAATTCGACAGATCAGTTGTCTACTTACTATTGAGTTCACTTTGGGTTTCGTCAGAAACAAGGAGTGGCACTTCCATCTCCCACTGTTGTTGCGTAAGGATACGTAAATTCTTCGTTTTCCCGTGAGCACTCCTGGCCAGCCGGTACAGTTTCAGCTCGAAATTTCCCATACCCAGCGACGTAGCCATTTGCGAAATACCAAGAAAGTTGATCATATGCTTCCTGGCGTCCGTTAGATTTCTTTGGTCTATACCGATTGGAATTCTACTGCGATGTCTCTCAAAAGCATCTTCCTCGCCACATCTATAAAAGCTGATCAATACTTCCGCAATTCCCGCCGATGCGGACGAGGCGGCCATTTTGCATGCAGAAGTCTGCTGAAAAACCGCTGACCACAGAATGTCTACAGAACTTATGCGCATGAGTACAAAGTATGCATGCTGACCAGTTCGGTTAGTTCTGCGCAGACTCTTCTCCTTTTGTTTCTAGTTTGCACGCCTTTATCATAAGAGCTAAGTTTGAACAAATCTTAGTCCTTTTTTCTAATATTATTGCTTTCTCTGTAAAACTTTTATTGACCTTTATTGAGTGAAATCGCTGTTCTAATACCTTTTAACACTTAACACTAAACTTTTTTTAAACGCTTAACATTAAAATTTTACCCATTTTAACACTAAACATTAAAAAAAACGGCCAAATAACACTTGACACTAAACCCCATCCAGACCCTCTTAGATACAAATCATAGACATTTAGTAAACCTGTTCTCGAGGAATTGCAAGTCTTAATAGCAGAATTTGCACAGGCATTTCAGAAGGCTTCGTTTTTCATTGTGGGCCATTTCTCAATCCACGCGTCCTCCCAAAATAAACAAATATGCTGTACTTGGGCTTAAATTTCTTGTGTGGACCATTCTCTTGGACCTGCAAAATTACTAGGTACTGAGTTTGGGTCCGAGAAGAGACTTTTTCTTGAAGAACCTTGTACAGGTACGCACTTGTTAGCAGGCTTACCCGGTGTGTTACCCTCTGAAACCATAGGCCTTTTGGAGGGCATGTTGCCTCGAGGAAACGGCCATAAACACTAAGTTGTCAAGAGGCGCGTCGGGGCGCGATTATTTCTAGCTGTGAATTAAAAGTGAAATAAAACATTTTAGGCACAAATAAACGTTGAAACGAACAGAACAGAGAAGTTTCAGGCTTGAAACAAATGGTCTCAAATTACAACACGAACACACGTGTTTGTGTTCCTCCTATAAAAAATAACACAGGATTTACCTCCACAGTAAAGCTACTTCAAATGTTTTTAAAGGCACCAAAAAATGTGCTATTTAAAAAAGAAGGCAAGAGAAATCCTCGTTGTGATGAAAAAACACAGTGCAATACTCACCTAACTTGCGCCTTTCCGCCGCCATCTTGAAAACTCTCCATCCATAGTGCAACGCGATCGTAGTGCGTACACCACCTGGGCTCGACCTGGCTTGACCAAAGGAAGCCCTACAAAACAGTTCTATTTAAGCCTAATGTACCAAGGATTAGGTATTTGCTATGAATTATTTAAAGGATCACCTAATCTACAACAACGATTGGCTCGGGAGGAATTCGCCCTTTACAAGATTAATTACTTTCGAAAAGTTGTGGTGGATAAAAACTACACAAAAGGACGTGACAGGTGACGGTTACAGTTTGACACTTATTACAGTTCTGATCCAATAACAACTGTTTACGGTCGACTGAATCGGAACTGGTAGCATTTATGCTTTGCTGAACTTAGCAAGATCTCCTTTTCCACGTTGAAATTTATATAAATTTAGCGATAGCATAAAAACTCGATAACTTAAAAGTCCTATCGTTACATTATCAATTTAACTGCTTTACGACACGACCGACGTTTTGCACTCTTCAACATCACAGATTAAAAACTGTCGATGGAAGCATAGATTGGATGAAATACAGCCAGATCGGTATGATGTGACACTTAAAAAAGAAACTAAAATTACAAGAAATACAATTAACATTCTTTCTGCAGTGTTGTTGCTAATTAGCAGCTGAACCCATGTATCTCCGACAAAAATCCTTTCCACTTTCCCATGAAATCTAAATGGAATATTAGATTTGCAGATATACAGCGTGCAAATCAAAGTAGAATTTTTGAGTTCAAACGACTTATTCCAACTATCCTTCTTCTCAATATCCTAAAAAGCTCACACAGCAGTCAGCGACATGATTACGTTTACATCTATGTAGATGGAAAGCAAAACGGAAGGCTACGTCATTATTTTACAAGAACAGTGATCTGTCTAGAGAAGTTACCTTGAAGGTTACTTTCATTGGAAATTGTTCAGTTTTTAGCATTTACTGCAGCTGGCATTGGCGCAGCTTGAGCTTGTATTGGCGGTGGAGGATATTGGTTTGGTGGCGGTGGATACCCTAGATAACGTGGAGGAGCCTGATCTAAACCCGGAGGAGGCTGGTTGTAGTTCATCGGCGGAGGAGGAAGTACTTGCTGCGTCGTCATCATGGGCACTGAGAGCATTTGCTGTTCCGGCTGTTAGCCCGTTACGAACACAGTACCGGGTGTACGATAGAGGTAGTACGGACAGGAAGCACAGCAGAAGCAGGATACGGTGGAAATGGCGATGCCAAATAATATAGTTATACAGATAATAACGCCTGCAATAGCTCCACCGCTCCAACCACAGTGCGACAGACACATTCCCCCCCAACAGTCCTTTCCAATACCACACTGGTATTTGTACGAACAAGAACATAAAGACGAACTACTGATGCATTTGCCGTTACTGCATTGCTCACCACTGTCACATTTGGAGTCGTACGAACAGGAGCAAGTAGACCAAAACCTAACGCAATTACTTTTAAAGCTCTGCTCGTTCGATGCAAATTGTGAGTCGGACGAACAGAAGTAACAATCTTCTCTACAGACGTTGTCTGTGCAACAGGACTCACTGTAGGAACAATCACCGTCATTGGTACAACAGGTAGCACTTCCCGAGGCAAAGAAACATACGAAAATAAAGCATAAAAGTTCCTTAGAAGCCATTGTCCTTCCCCAAATTTCGATGGCGTCTGTTCGATGTAAGATAATAATGAGATACAGTTGGTTGGTTTCGAAATCTTTCCACTATGACAGTTTATCAAATTAGGTCATGGGAACGCACAATATGTCTTACGGTATTACACTGCAGAACAGGGAAAAAATACGGGGCAACAAAATGGGAGCAATAAACAATTCAGAGGTTTCTTTTTCCTTTTTTTTTTTTTTTCTGTTGCTGTTTTTTTGGCTTGCCTTTCAAGGAAGCGAATTTTTTAGCACAGTCTTTTTGGGGGGGGTCTCAAAGTCGTTCGTAACTTTTTTCGTCTTTTGTGTTCTCCTTATGCGATTGATACGGTGCACAGGTAAGGCTGTAGCATGTATTTCACAATCTATAATCAAAATGCGCGCTGAGAGATAAGATAAAATTGGAATAATAAATCCTTTATTCCATGGTCTAACATATAATACGAGCGGATATTTTGCTCATATTTGCTCGTGCTGTACCTCGCGCGCACTCCTTTGGGGCAAGGAAATTTGCAAAGCAATTTGCAAGATATCCGCGTGTACTTACAAGTTAAACCATCAAATGAGGTGGACTGTTCAGTTCCTTTGAAGTCAGACCAAAGCTAGTTTTGGAAAAGGGCCCAAATGTATGTATTGAACGAAGGTCCAGCAAATTTAGCTATTTTAATCAAATGAAGGATTATTAGAATAATTCCCGTTGACTAGTTTTATTTCCACTTATCTCATTTTAGATCTTATTTACAAAGTGCAATTCATGTTCCAACAAGGATGTTAACAGCGATAAATACCCAGCTAGCGTACTTATAGGATTTGAATGAAATCCTGCATGCTGATGAGTTTAATTTTAGGGCTTTTGGACTAAACGTTGAGAGCGGTGGGGTTGATTCTTTATGTGGTTACTGCCACCTACAGGAGACATGTCGAGATGACTTTGTAAGTGAGTGAGTGAATGAAGCAATGGAATTGCAATCTTGACCCAATTTTGACCTGATGTCTCCGGGTGCTACTTATTATTATTACTATTATTATTATTTTCATAGTATTTTATTAGTTCGGAATTCGCACTCGATACACAATTAAATTCTTTCCTTTTGTCATTTCTCGCCTATAGCCACTAGCAAATGACAGCAGAAGACGATAAGCATCTCACAATAGGCATAAATAGATTGTGCTCGGCAACTTTTGGGCGATATTTAGCGTTTTCAGCAACTTTTTGCATTGCGAGCAATGGTCAGCAACTTAAGGCAACTTTTGTCTTCCTTGGCAACTTTTGAGTCAACAAATAGTTAAAAATTGACCAAACCATCAAAAAGTTTTGTTATCAAATAGTATTTTCATTAAAATTGGTCAAAAATAGGGATGTCATACTTTCTTACAAATAATTCATAAAATAACACGTGCGCCCACAAACTGGACAGCAGCTATCTATATCTAACGGGCGTTTACATCCAGCGGTTACTCGCTCCAACTATAGAGCTTCTCGCGCGTGCGAGGCATCACAATTTGAAGCTAAAATGTCTGACGAGGAAAATAAAATTATGCAGATATTGACCCTATTGGTGTTATCATAGCCGCTGGGGCAACTCTCAATAGTCCTGCAAGAGCTTCAATTTCTAGAAATCGTATAGTTCACGTCACCGAAGACGAATACAAATAACGAGAAGCGGTAGCTCGACCTCGTCGTTAGGGAAAGAAAACACAACATGCGCTTGGTATCGCGTGAAAGACTATCGAAAACGTCATTAGAAAATAATTTCTGTTATTAGTTACGTTGAGATCGAATAAGGTATATATACATAAACTCGTAACATGGATTTTGAATTGTTCGGTACCTTTCAAGTCAGGCCATTGTTAGTTCGGAGGAAAAGGCCCAAATGCTGAAGAAAAGACCTAAACCAACAGAAATCTGACAAGCCCGTCATAAATCATTCAAGAAAACATAGTCCCTAGTAAATGTTGAACTCCGATAACCTGTGCGAAATTTGTATTTCATCAAATTCTTAATGCTTTTTTGTATATGGCAAAGTGTTAGTTATCTTGTGTTTTATCGCGTGTAAAGTTTAAAACGTAAGTATGTTTTAACAAACTTGATTTTTTTTAACCAAATGTAGCATTAATTATAACAAATATTAATGATTGGTTTTATTTCCGGTTATCTCATTTTAGATCTTTTTCACCAAGAACAATTCATGTTCCAACAAGTGTGTAAACAGCGAGGAATACCCAGGTAACGTACTTACTGGATTTGAATGAAATCTTACATGATGTGGCCTTTAATCTT